ATTTATTTAACCAGTCATAAATACAAAACAGTGGCAGCAGAGATCAAATGTTTTACATTTTTGCTACTGTTTTTTCTTCACTGCCACCATCTTGTCAAGTTAGGGTTGGCTGCTTTGGTGTGTTCCAGATGAAAATTCTAACTGGGAACTCTGAAATTCCATCTTCCAACTTAATCTGGAATGCACTAAGAGTTGCTGGTGCGATCATCGATGTGGCATCAACCAATCAGTCCCAAGGCGAGCTAACAGAGCTTGAATGAGCATTTAAACAAGCTAGCTGTCTGTTAGCTCTCTTTGTTCATATGCTACATGGTGATTATTTATAGCAAGCATAAACGTCACCAGTTTCAAGCCAAACAAAAAGCTGTGCAAGCACCTTCCATCTCTCTTAATAACATTATTATTTTTATTATTATAACATCAAAGCAAAAGCAGCGCAAGGAAAGCCAGGCAGTGTATATATGTATATGTGAATCCTCCCCAAGATGGAAAAGAAGCAGTGAAAAAAAGTTAGCCATACAGAGATCAACAGTGCAGTGTTAGCCTGCAAGGAAAGCAGTCGAAGTGGTTAGTTGAATCACATCCCAAACTCGGTGCTGTCACTGACAGCATCTACAGAAAAATCCTTTCAAAGGGGTGTTTTTACCCAAAAGCCCCAATGGTGTATGCTGTTGGGAGACATGGGGCCTCAGTAGTCCTCAGTTAGCCTCTCTGTCTCAGAGGGCTGGATCTTCATCTCAGCCTTCTGGGCCTTGGCCTCATACATCTCCCTCCTGCTGGCTCTCTGGAAGAAGCCACACTGGAGGAAGGCGCATGAATTCTGGGGTTAGACTAAGGTGTCAAAACAGAGGTTAAAGCTCAATAAAACAATCTCACCTTCCATAGTATAAGAATGATGATTCCTAGCAGTACAATTCCTGCTACAGCTGCAGAGATGATGATCCACAGGGGAAGCTCATAGGGCGTCTCCACCCTTTCCTCTGGTTCTATTTGTACTTTGAACTACAAGAAAAGTGAAGAATGTAATATATTATCATATCATAAGCATCATTTTCATTCCTGCCATCATCATCACATACCAAGGCCGTCTGACTCTTCATCTTGATGTTTGATTGATCATTAATAAGCTTCAGTGTGGCTTGGCCTTTAACTTCAACTACAAATGCATCAGAATAGTCCTGTAGGCACACACAGACACAACATCAGAACATTTTCCCAAATGTCAGGGCATAAACAGTAAAATAGGATTGCTATTTCAATTTGCACTTATTTATATTTGGTCATATAGCTCTTTTCTAGAATAAACTCCTTTCACATGTGTACAAGGAAAGCATGCAGTGGGTAGGAAGCACCTCCCTGCCCTTCTATTTGCACACATGGAAATCCTGAGGCACGGACATGCCAGAGACAGACAGCAGATATCACAGTGATCAAGTGAGACACAGCATGAATAGAAGACAACGTGTTAAAGTGTGAAGAAGCTTACACAGCACCTTGCCAAGTGAGTTTTTGGCCTACCAGATCTAACAGCACACTTGATATATAATTAAAAAATTACCATGAATCTACAATATATATTAGCTGGGGAGCTCACCTCTAACATTGTACTATTCCACAACCGGGATCGGACATAAATCGTGGCTGAATTCGAAACATTGAGCAGCGGGCAGGTAAACGTCACACACTTTGCTGTCCCCTTGGAGCAATCCTTTAACAGGCCATAAGAAAGAAACTATTAGAGAGTGAACAGATACTGACAGTTAAGACTAGATTTAAAAAGAAAAATCCTACTATCTACAATGGATGACTCAATTTGTATATTAAATGTTAATCCTACTGACGTTGGTATTTGCCACAGTGTGAGGTTGTCAGTCCACTTATTTTGAAAGATATTAAATTCTGTACACAAGACTCCTCACATACAAATGTCACACATATACGCATGATTATGTTAAGGGAATATAAAGCTAGGACTTACCAACAGGTAACTCTTTTTGGGAGTAGAAGACAGTGTGACTGCTGCCTGTGGCTCAATAATATTTGAATGGGTCACGTCATTCTCACCTTCAACTCTAATCTGTCGCTTAGTACGCTTAGGTCTTCTCTCTGACAACTGCAAGATGGGAGAAAAAAAAGAAGAAAGAAAAGGGAAGAAAAAAAAGAGGAAACAGAGGAGACAGAGACATTACATCAGAGGGTTAATTACTGGTTTGATAAAGACATTACTACATTTTTCTCAGAATAGCATTGTCATTTCAGCTGTCTATATATAGGCTGCATGCACTATGGCTTTCTATTTTGGGGCTTTGTGAGGTCTGTGTGTGGCGACAGATGTTTTTTTCCAAAATGTATTTCTGAACAGTGGTTTGGCATTAAGACCATTTTCACACCACTTTTCTAAAATTGACATTTATTCACACTGTGCTGACTTGAGTTCATGCTGACATCGGCTTGAGCAACACACGTAACAAGTCGATGACCCACCTAGCTTAATGAATTCATGCTAATGAATTTCTCAAAGGTTGATATTTGAGAAATTGTATTTAGAGGTAAGGTTCATGGGTTTAAAATATATCTCACAGTTTATGGTTCAGTACCTAATGTTTGTTTAAAAAAGTAATGATAAGCCTTGGCTGTACTTTCTGTTTAGTGCTAATGAGTAAAAGCTAGCATGCTAATGTGCTAAATAAAGATGGTAACTGAATTAAACATACGCACTTTGGCTTATTTGGATGCTGATGGAATTTAGCTCAGAGTATATGTCATATATTTAACTTTAAACTGCTGTTTAATTCTCTGCGTCTTTTGACACTGTCAAAGAGACTATGGAGTCCTCCTTGTTTAAATACCGCAGTCGTTGGTCAAACTATTCTTGACACTGTCACTTCTGTTCTAAACTGAAACCTAAACAATGGCTGAATGAAAACGTTCGCAGTGTCAGATGAGACCACAGGAAAACAGCACATCAATAGCAAAAGGTAAAGTACAACTGTTTTTTGATATTCTTAAGGAAAACTTCACGTTGTTATCAAAGACCTGTAAAAGCTGAAAAAAACCAAGCAGATAATATTTTTAACAACTGTCACAGACGCTTAGTGAAATTAACTCTTTGATTAAAATCCCTCAACTTACTTAACTCATGACATGTTTCAACGAGGTACACCGTGGCATGTGGAGTTCCCCAAGGTTCAATTCTGGGGCCAGGCTTGTTTTTTACCTTTACAATTTACCCCTAGGATCCATTTTTAAAAGACATGGCAGTTCTTTACACTTTTATATTGATGATCATCAAATTTACCTACCCTAAAAAGGTCTTTAAAAAACACAGAGTGTGTCCGGTAACATCATCCCAACGCATGGCAGTCTAACGAGTAGCTCTCTCTCATAACTAATTTGTTCACCCCGTGAAGTGTCAAACTCAAATTCTCAGTTATAACTATTGCTCTCCGGCTCACTTGGTTATTCAATATCCAATGAGTTGGCAAGCACAATCATTGAAATATTTAGGAGTTGTTATTCCCAAGGATTTAACTAAACTATTTGAGGAGAATTTTGGTTCCCTACAAAGGAGAATAGTGGGTGATATTAGACGATGGAACATGATCCCCTTTCTTTCTCTACACTCACGAATTGAATCTATCAAAATGAATATTTTGCCAAGATTATTATATTTATTCCAAACACTACCAATACCTATTGATTCAAGCCGTTTCAATGAATGGGATAAAATAATATCGCGGTTTATGTGTGGGGGGGGAGCGGCCGAGGGTTTGTTTTAAAACAGGAGGATGGGGGTTGTCGTCACTAAAAAATTATTTCCGGGCTGCTCAGCTGAAGACTGTGGTCAATTGGTGTGATACAAGCTACCAAGCACATTGGAAGACTATTGAGGAGAGCATGTTTTCCTCTCCAATACAAGCTGTCTTGATGGATTCGAACATTCGAGAAGGTATTGACAAGGTTTGCAACCCCTGGGTGTCGTGTACACTTAATATATGGAGAAAAGTCGTGAAAGAATTTAAACTGGAACAGGATTTGGCTTTATTTAAATCGTATTCATATGACTCTGACTTTGTCCCGAATAAGTTGGACTCACGTTTTAAAAGTTGGTCTGCTAAAGGGTTATCTACATTCGATAGTTTGATTAAGGATGGGAACTTTATTAGTTTTGACACACTGAAACAGAAATACAATCTAGAAAAACAGGATTTTTATCGATACCTGCAAATAAGACATTACATAAAGACAACAATCGGTGTGATGTCAAACACTAATGTGGAACTGGTAACTTTGTTTAGACAGGCGTACAGTGGGGATGTCGATACAAGACTCATTTCTTTTTTGTATAATTTTCTTATAAATAAGTTTCCCCACTCAACTGATTATGTGAAGATGTTATGGGAAAAGGAGGGAGGGATGTGTATTTCAAGGGATGAATGGACTCAGATGTGGGAACGGCAATGGAGGAGTACTTCCTCCAACAGCTGGAGGGAATTTGGATGGAAGTCTATGATAAGGTTTTTTATTACTCCGTGTCAAAAGGCTCATTATGATGGGAATCCTCCTGTGTGTTGGAGAAACTGTGGACACCAACGAGCACATCACACCCATATTATGTGGGACTGTCCTGTGCTACGGACTCACTGGAAGGACATTCATGGTACATTACAAGGCATTTTTGACTGTACACTCCCTTTGGACATGAAGACAATCGTTTTTGGTTGTATACCGCAGAACTGGTCTAAAAATGATACATGTCTGTTAAGAGCTTTACTTGTTGCAAGTAAGAAAAGTATAACTTTTCGCTAGAGATAGGGAAATTTCGCTAGAGATTTATAGGATGGAGGAGGTAACAGCTCATGTCAATGACAGGGTGGGTTGGTTCCACTTGTGTTGGGATAAGTGGGTTCTATATGCCAATACCCATAAACCGAATCTTCTTTTCAAAGCTTGAAACCACCAACCTAGCTAACTGGTCACTCCTGACTGTTTTTTCTTTTTTTCTTTTTTCTTTCTTTCTTTTTTTTTTCTTTTCTCTTTTTTCTTTCTCTTTCGTTTTGCTTTGTTTTTCCCTTGTAAATTATGTTGATTAATGCCTGTAATCACCTTCATGAATTAATATTTTAGAAATAAAGAATTATAAAAAACCAAAAAACACAGAGTGTTTCAGGGACATCAAACCCCTGATGGCTCTACATTTTTAAATATTCAATGACAGTAAAACTGAGGTTGTGATACTTAAACCCAGTGATGCTGGCATTGCCTCAAAATTGGGCTCTGTGGAACCTTATATTACGCCCACTGTAATCAACTTTGGAGTTCAAGTGAACTGTGATTTTAAACTGGATAAACATATATCCATAAATATACAGTTTTATCCATCGTCAGATCACTTAGTGATTTTGAGAGTTATAGAAGTGTTTATTTGTATGTAAAACGTATATATTTTAATTATGTTCTTACTGTGTGAAATTAATATTTTGGGTCAGTTTTTTAATGTGTTTTATAAATAAGGTTGCATCAGACTGAACTGGATTGAAGGTACAGCTAGCCTCTCTGTATGGCTTTACAGAGAGGCTAGCACAGATGTTGACTCGTTTTTATGTGACGCTCAAGTTTTTGAATGTCTTAAAAGTTTGATTTGTGTATTTTTTGTTGCTGTTAAGTTTTTGTTTTTGGTCTTACTCTGGGTCATCTTCACAGATATCACACGTTTCAAAAAGTGTTAAAAAGAACCTTACAGTTAGGTTAAGCATGTTGACCACATTTCCAGGAGGTTTACACTCCGTTTCAGAATCCCCCTGAACAACAATCTTCGTCAGGTACAGCAGCCACTTGCCGTTTGCTACCTCACAGGGCCACTCAAACTCCACAGCCAGGGTTGCTATGTCTTGCAGCGATTGTCCCATTGTGTTCATCTAGAGGTGGAAGCAGTCAGAAACATTAAAAATAGAAGTGAAATACATCAGATGGTATGAAATAACAACATGGTGACTGTAACTCCTAAACAGTATCCACCCCTGCTCACACTTAAACCACAAACCATGGCTGACACAACAATCCACAGCCGACGCAATATTAAACTTCTGAAGTGCTGGCTTCAAAGAAAGGGTGGGGATGATGGAAATGTGGGTGAGTAAAACACATAATAGATACAATGTACAATCTCTGAGTGGTGAAGATGACTCACAGTAAAGGTGAACTCCACCAGACTGCCCACGTCACTTGTGTTGACCATGGCTGACTCGCCCATCACTGTCCCACCAAACTTTACTGTTTCCACCTGTGTCTTTTCACTGGATAAGCTAAAAGACAGATATGTTTCACACAGTGTAAGTAAACAAACTGTAAGGAGGGTAATATGATGCACTGACCATTTTATTTACCTACTCTTTATGTACAACAGGGGTTCTCAGATTTTTTGATGACCGAGTACCGATTTAGGAAGATGGTTGATGGAAGGAAGGAAAGAACCCTCCCCCAAAAAACCACATAAAAAAACCTAAAAGTCCTCTAGGGGCACGGGAGACATGCCTAACCTAACACATGTATAAGAAATATAGTAAATGCAATGCATATACTTCCCATGATGCCTGTGATTACTCTCAGTAATCAGGTGGTTTATGTGCTAAATACCTGAATTACTTTTCTACTATTTCTCACTGTTACTGAGAACCCTGAATGTACAGTATGTCATGAAACATTTGCGATTGGGACTTACAAGCTGAAGACTGGCTCAATGGTGTTTTCAATCAGCAAGGCCATAGGAACAGGCGTTAGGTCACTCTGCTCACTAAGACTGGAGAAATTACAACAGTGTGCATTATCTTAAAACAGCTTAAAAATTTAAACTTCATTAAAAAAATGCAAAAAGCAGAAAATGAACTTAATTATTATACACAACAGTATTATATTGACTTGTTTTCGCTGTTTAGTATTAAGCAGGAACAAAATACAATGTGCAACCAACATTATAAAGCCCTTACGTTGACAACAGCAGCTGACACTCAATCTTTCGTGTGTGTAGGGTGATTCCTGATGTCTCAAACTTGAGCAGGAAAGACACCTATTAATAAAGCAATGCAAGCACATGAGAACTGTTGCAAACCCAACTGTCCAGTAGAAAAATATAAAAATAATTGTCACCTGTTCAAACCTACCTTTTCGTTTTTGCTAATTGGGTTCCCCACCTCACAAATGACTGTATCAAGAAGAGTGCACTCAACTTTGTTATTCTAAACACAGAAGAAATAAACAGAATTAGTTTTAATTTTTAAGGAACTGACATGACCAGAGATGTGGCTAAACATGACCAAACCAAACCAATACAGTGTGCATCTTGTAAGAAGAGTAGCATTAAAAAAGAAAGGACATTTAAATAAAAATGGGCATCTTCTGCCCTCCAGTGGACCTACCAAAGAACTGACACTGGCATATTTCAGCACATCAGGGATAGTGACATTGAGCAGGACTCTGTGGGCGTCTTCAGCTAGCTTCCCTTCAGATTGATAGTTGGTAACGTTTACCGCGAGCCCTATTTTCTTTATGGAGCTGTTGAACTGGAGCACTTGAACTTTGCCCAGACTGTAGAGGGACAACATGTATTAGCTTTGTTATTTAATGATTATTTTGCTTAACTAACACATTCATGACATGACATAACAAAGAACAAAATGGCTAACGATGGCTAAAGTGCTAAAATGGACCTTTCCAATGGGAGTCCATAAGCAAGGGGGAACCCTCACAAGTTCACACATTTCACACTTCACTTTGTTTTCTATGTGCTAAGCTAATGGTAAGCTGGTACTGGTGGTAGCTTCATATGCATTATATATATACATGAGCACTGCAACAATCTTCTAACCTAACTGAGCAAGCTAACTAGTGTATTTTAACCTTTAAAAGTCAGCTTTGTGTCTATACATGAATGACTCAAAGGATGCTTGGTTGCTCACTATATAAATTTACCTGGGATAAGGCTTTTCTTCATTTTCTTCAACAAACTTTGCTGTTAGTTGCAGGTTACTGGTACATTTGTTGTCTGAGCCACACGCCTTTTGAAAGTGAATCTGCAGGAAATAGAATAAGCAACATCATATCAAATCTTACAAGGGGACACTGGACTGTACCATTTCTTTACCATCTCCAAGTTACTGAAAGGGAAACCTGTAAATGAAGTGCATGCAAGACTCCATACCTCAGTTCTTCGGCTGGATTTCTGCTCTGGGCTCAAAATTGGGAAGAAGTCGAGGTTCTGTGGGGATCGTCTGGCTCTAGGTATTGGTTCGTATAATGAGAAGTTCAGGAAAAAGACCACTGGTTCCAGTTTGTCCCTCACAGGTTCCTGTGAATTAATTAAAGAGTTTCTTTTTGCTTGTCTCAATAAGCACAGGACTATCAGGTAGCTGCAGTTTATTTGTTCTCTCCAGTCACTCAGCAAGATGATCATTTGCAAAAACACAAAATGCACGGCTCAGTCAATACAACATCTGCAATAGTTGCGTTGTGCACTTACGACTACAAACAGCTTGAGAGTTTCACACGCAGTTTTGGAAGCTGTCATGGTCAGGTTGCCAGTGTAAGTGTTGATGTCATTCTGAAAACGAACACGAGAGCTTCCTCTTCTCTCCCTGTCGGCCTCTACTATATACGTCACCACTTTACAGAGTGAAAACAAACAGAAAAGATTAAAGCAAGCTCATGCAGTAAATAAAGTTTTTTTTTCTTACAATACAAAGAATTTCCATGGTGATGCACTTGTTTGTAAGTTGGAAACGCTGTTCATTTGAAAAAGAAAATTGAACACGGAAAAACTTACTGACAGGTCTCTTGAAATTTGTATTTCCGGTGCTTAGAGTGAAAGACATGCACAGAGTAGCTGTAATGCTGTGAAGCACAAAGAGAAAGAGAAGAAGAACTGAGACCTGAAAAAACACTCAATAAGCCAGTTTCAGAACGACATAAATTTAGGAGACATCTCACCATGGTTTATCTCCAGAGCACATTTTATCGTCCACAATCTTAGGCTCGACAGTGAAGTCTTGGGTTAAGTGCACAACCGGTCGAGCTCTTATTTAAAAAACAAAACAGAACAAAACAAATAAATTAATCATTATGATAATAATAATAATAATAATAATAATAATAATAATAATAATAATAATAATATGAGAAATAACTCCATGAATACTGAAAAATAATAGATGTCATAAAAATAGTTTGTCGTAACTTATGAGACAAATGTCACTGTAGAAAATCGCTAAATATTATATATACAGTCACTGGCCACTTTGTTAGGTACATTTGTTCAACTTCTTGTTAATACAAATAATAGACAATCACATGGTAGTGATCAGCCCACAACCTTCCAGCAGAATAACTTACTATGACACTACGTCAGAAAGCTCAACAAAGACTTCGCTGCACTCAAATGATCCCGAGATCACAATAAAATTGCCCAAAGAGCACCTCTGTGTTGTGGTGGAACAGCTGTGATTGTTTTGATTTTGTTTGGGAATCAGTAAAGTGTGAAGTTTTTTTAGTAGAGGTTTCAGATTATTTCCTGATAAGCTAGTCTTTGAGTGGTAAACTACTCCATCTTTAAAAGAATTATAATTTTTTTTAATTACTTTAAATTACTGTAAATCCTGCACATTCAGGATTTACATCATGAATGTGCAGCCGATACATCAGCAGTGTGTGTTATGCTATGATGTCAATAAGGGGGTCCAACTAACATTGAAATATCTTGTTTAACTTTGTTTTTGATTGTGTCTACCTGAGGAGGGCGATGTGATCATCCAGAGAGCCAACTAAGATATCAGGGTAACTGTTATCATCCACGTCCATCCCTCCGCTGATGGAGTAGCCGAAGGTCCGGAATTTTTCACCAAACGTCCTACCCATAATGGTCTGCAGAGGGAGTCATTGACACAGGTTTTCAGAAGAGTACTTTGAATAAAGTTTTTAAATGACCACAGAATGTCAGACGTTACCTGACTAGGCTCCCTTGATATTCCCTTTTTGCTTCCCATCCATATGTAGACTATTCCTGTCTGGTGGAATGGCGCTCCAACAGCAAAGTCTGGAGACATTAGCATTACAGTTAAACAAGTGCTGGAAGCATGGCAAGAAAAGATGCTAGAAAAGAAAACTAGGCACTCTTTGTGTATAGGAAATATTTGTCCTCTAGGTGGCAGCAGAGAATGTTTTCAGGACTCATTTGAAACACGACAAGTTAAATACCTCTTGTTTGCAGCTGAAATGATTTGAAATTACAGAAATATTCCTTTAGCGTGCTTTATGCTCACACCACAGTTTACCTGTGGTCTGGTGCACCACTTTGATTTCACTTTTTTAAACTAGAATATTATCAGATGTAGGTCCAAAAGAGATGCTGGGTTCATGGTCACACCTTGGAATCCGTCTTGGTTGATGTCGCCAATGGCGGCCAGTGCAAGGCCAAAGGCAGAATCAGATGGGCCCTTCAAAACCATTGAGGCGGTCTTCTGGAAAAATCCATTCTCGTTCATGAAAATGTACACTGCTCCCCCCACTTCATTCTTACGGTCAAAGTAAAAGGGGGCACCCACAATCAGGTCATTCCAACTAGAATATGCAAGACAAAAATCCACATATGCATGTAAATACAAAAATACATACCATGGCTAAGTATAGCTAAACATTCAACACAAGTCACCAAAGCTATATTAACTGTATCTCAAAAGAATGAACTACCTAGAATCTTAATGACCAACTAGATTTCTAGATAGAGAAACACCTGATTTCTTCATAATTTCAAAGTGAATCCCTCATCCCTGCCACAGAAAGTCACTATTATCATCTGTGTTCAGACACACACTGCTTCACTGTTATGCACTATATGCATAAAAAGGCAAATCACAGCCAAATCTATGTGAAAAAAAAATCATTGTTCATTTCCCCACAGTTTTCCCCACAGTTACACTCTCCGGTATAGAAACGCACCTGTCATTGTTCAGATCTGTCACTGCCAGGCTGTTTCCAAAGTAGGAACCCACTTGTTCCCCGAGGATGATCTGCTCCAACAAAAGCTTTGGTTGAGTTTTATTTGAAAAAATCACAGCACCCTTAGACTCATATCTGGGAGCCCCCGTCACAACTGTCGAGTCATCATAGCTCAGCAGCTTCTTTCCTTCGAGAACTGAATAACCTGTGAATGAAAGTGCTTGAGAATCAGAGATGTTGTTTTTGACAATTGGATGCTTATCTGACGGTAGGGAGATTGAGTGTGAATCTCACTAAGGTTCCCAATGATTTGCCATTTGAAATGTTGTAAAGACACACCAACACTTACCTATATAACTATATGCTTTCTCTAGACTTTCAAAGTTTTTGTCAGCATAGTTCCAGGGGTTTTGTGGATCTATCCGTATCACATGAGCATCTCCTTTAAAACAAAGCAGAATCACACAACAATGTTAAAATCAACTTAATACACAATTCAAGAGTATCCAAGACATAACACAATCAAATCCAACAGACTTGCACAGTGTGCAAATAATGAGTAACCCCATTATTTCAGCAGTAGGCAAAACAGGTTAGCTTGACAGTTCCCACCTTGCCAATTGTAGCTGCCTGGAGAGCCTAAATAGACATCAGTTTCCGATATACCGCCTGAGATGCCCATGTTGCACATGCCGTCCAAGTTGTGGTCGTTGTTGTGATTGCAGACGTCATAATTTTCATCCTGCCACTGATCATCTTGGTCAAAGGTCAGGTCATTACTCCTTACATAACATTTTCCTAACATCCGCCACTGATTCTCTGAAATAACCTTCACATATCGATGTCCGCATGCCTGGAGACCAGAGAAAGTATTGAAGAAGTGCAGTGTGTCATATCAGAAATTGACAGTGCTTAAACTGAGATCAATTCAGTGACTAGGAAAAACAGCTTCAAGTAAACTGAAGAATCTCAAACATCAATATAATGAAACCAGTGTCGCTGCTTTTTAATTTACACAATGGAAACGGTCCTCCCTTTGAGCAGTTACACGAAATAATCATTTTCTATGAGCCAGATATCGAGTTTTTCCGTCCCACGGTCACCAAGTGCTCACTCATAGGGGGGTCTGATTGTTGAAGTTTTCTCTGCAGGGTCTTTTCCTCTTACAATATAAAATCATTTAAGATGACTGCTGTTGTGATCTGATGCTATTTAAAAATAAATATAAAAATATATATATATAAAAAAATAAATGCATTAATATGTAAGATAGAAAAATAAAAACATGGAGATTACACCAATTAGTGCTTAAACAAAAACTGAAACATATTAACAAAGACAGACTAGGAACAACATGCTGTTAGTTTCCCCTCACTGTATGTAAAATGTGTTCTCCAGTAATAATAATTAAAAAAAAGTAATAAAAAAAATCTCTTGATCAAAATATAATTTCTCCCTAAACATGAGACATTATTGTATTTTCTCCCTGTGTGTATCATCCTGTCTCAGGTGTGTGTGTGTGTCTACAGTAATTAAACATTGCAACAAGTCAAATGTGTCATCTCTTAGACTAAATAATAAAAGAAAACATCCTGTGTGTCAGCTCACCCTGCCTTGTACATAATATCACCGGTAGTAGTGACTCATAGAAAGAAAACAGGAAGTCATCTTACCAACACGCGTCCATCTGGCTGGCCCTTCTGACTGGACACTGTCACACCCAACCACATGCCCTCCACAATCTCAGAGGTAGTTGCTGTGGATGCGTCATAAGGAGGTAGGTCAATTATTAAGGCAACTGTTTTAATTTGTCATCAAGCTGGTGCTGACAGGTAGGTCTTTACATACAGAGTAATTACCTTTTTTTCTGCTTTATAATGTTCCCTGTTTTACTTCTTGTTCTTTTATTTCAATAGACCGTTTCCAACCAGATTTCTATTTGCCATTATACACTAATCAAATCAAACCAGCATGCAGTACAAAATCGACCATTCCAGACTATTTATTACATTAAAAGAAACATTCAGCATGGCTATGGTGATCACAGTTATCAGAACACCTACTCAAACTGTAAATGCAAACCTTCATGCAGCCTGGATCATGCCCTGACAAATATTAACCACAAAAATGTGCTGAGACTGCAGCAGCACTCATTCTAACCTCAACATGAAAAGTGATTCAGAATCCTCTTATTATACCATTTACCCCTAGGTTTGGATGGGAGGGGGGTGGGGTCTAACATTTAATAACAGTCTGTTCATGGACATGGTGGACAAAATAATTCCAAATGCTCCAAAGGATGCTTGATGATTTTACTAAAATGATCTGACACAGTTCTGTAGTCCTTACTGTAAAATGAGGAAGCTAGCTAGTGTTCATTTAAAGGTTATTATTTTTTGTTCCTCACATTAGCTACATCCTTTTGAGGCCCTGCGCAGGGGAAACCCAGTTTTAACACATGAAGTTCACTCAGGGAGTACAATCCTAAATAGAGCTGAGCTGTGAGTCTCCTATGGCTGTGTGAAGTAAGTGTTGTTGAACATCTCAATCATATGAGCGATTCCTAAATTTTCGTTTAAACCCAAACTGGTTCTGAACAGTGTGCTAAGTCAGGAAGGAGGGTTTTAAAAAATGTACGTACAACATGCAGTCTGGGTTTTTTTAAAATTTGCTTCTGTTGGAGATCTCTGCGTTTGCCGTTTCATTTTGCACCACCATCTGTTATGTTTGCATCAAATCTATGGAAGTGCTATACAAACTCGGTTAAGGTGCTTTTAAAGTATTGTGAACGATGGCTCCTTGCTGGTGCACTGAATATGAAAATCTTCAGAAATGTTCAAAAGCGCTCTCACTCACCATCGATCATCAGAATACCAAATAAGTGAACATCTTTAAGAAGAATGGTGTTCAATCTCATCATTATTTTCCTTACATATATAGATGTATTTTAAAGGAAACCCCCCTCGAGCTCACTAAAATCTCTTAATGGAACAGTTCAGAAACAGCTACAACACTGCAACCAAGCATTCCCTTCATCACATCAGTGCTTCGCAGTGATCTTACTTGAGGTAACCAGGTCCATTCTGGAGCAGTCAGTGGTGTCGGTGGTAATGGGACAGAAGTAGACGGCGCCTGTTTCATTGACTTCCGGTAGAGATTGTGCTTTTTCTTTGGGCGCACCTATAAGAAGCCTACAAAGGCACAGAGGAACACAGAAAGAACAAAAACACAGAAAAAACAAAAACACAGAAAGAACAAAAACACAGAAAAAACAAAAACACAGAAAGAACAAAAACACAGAAAGAACAAAAACACAGAAAAAACAAAGAGAGAAAAACAGAAAGAAAGAGACAATGTTTGAAATCACAATGGAAGTGTGGCACAGTGTTAGACAAAGCTATGACACTATCAGCAACGGTTTATCAGATAACCTTCGAGACACAAAAAAAGCACACCATGCAGCTTAACAAGTCAATCATTTATATTTCACCTCTTGAAATTTAGCTATTTGTATATATTACAGCTATTTATTATTTTTCTAAATGTTCTAACATATTGTATTATTTAACTAGTTCAGTCTGTTACTGTTGTTGTCTTGGAGGAACTGTAACTCACATTATTTCCTTAAGGATTATGAAAGTATTCTGATTGTGATTAAAGGCACAACTTTTATGCACAGCATTTACCCACTTAGAGTGTGTGACGTGACCTGAGATGTTAAGATTCAGGGTCTAAACACACAAAAAAGCAGACTCATTTCACATGAAAAGAAAGAGTGAAGCAGTCGGACCATGACCCGTGACAAGCTTGGGCAGCGTACACACACACGCACTCACTCCCATGCACGCACGCACACATATATAGAGAGAAATTTGCTTCTTGGCTCTTTTTGTCCACTCATCGAGACACTCCCTGCATCTGCACCTCTTACCACACCAAAGAGCTTTGAAGTAAAGAGATTACTGCTCTCTGAGGCTCTGTGCAGGAACACACCATTTACCGTCAGCAGAAGATTTATTAGCTCCACTTTGTGGGCGAAAGGTGTGGACAAGCTAGTTTACAATATGTGAGCGAGTGACATACGCATGAAATGAAAGCACTCAGTGCTTTGGTCAAAGTGGGTAACACAAACATGTCATTCTTCTCATTTTAGCGTCCTGAAAATGATTTCAGTGCTGTCAGTGCTGACAATGAGTTATCAGCATTGTGGGAAAGAGTAGAAAATGAAAAATAAGTAAGTCAAGATGTTCACGATTGTTGACCTAACTGCGAGTATAGTGGGAAGCCAGCTTTCTCTCTTATTCACACTGACAAGTTAGAATAAATAAAGGTCCCAAATGTAAAGTTAAAAATAAGTCTTCACAGTAAAATCACTGTGCTTTTAAAATCCCATTTTCTCCCACGAGTCAGCCTGGGATTACTCCAACTTGGGGAGAGATCATTTCTCCTGAAAGATGAATCACAGCAAAAGGCTGTGCTATGCTAAAAACTGGAGGTCTGAAGACAAAGCGGGAAATCACTGAACAGGGTCTGTTAGCACTTGCTCTTGGTTAGTCATACCTGATTAAACACTGCTCACAGGTTTCGTGGTTTTTCATTCTGTTTAAACACAGCGAGCCCATGTACCAGGCTCCACCACTCCACCACAGTCGTCCACATATATACACACATTCACAGTGATATCGACATTAACATGCCCCTATAAACATTTACAATCTTAATCTGACTGCAGGCCTAAGAACATAGACAAAATTATTCTCTCTTTGATGTCTCACCTGAGCATGCAGAGAGTCAGACATGCAAATTAGTCACATGGCCCGACTTCCACTGATTTTAGATCAAATTACTCTAAAAAGTATATGAATTGTGGCACATAAGCTGACAAAACACTGAACTCAGATTAGACGCTGTGGCACACATAGCTAATTCCTTGACATTAGATCTGGTCAGATATGTTTATAGGTAAGACATCATCCCTTTCCTTTTATGAACGCAGTATGACAGCACCGGCACCAGCACAAACACTTCTCAGTATGACGACAACCACAAAGAGACAAGACGGCTGCTGAGGGCCAGCAGTTTCCAGGTTAAACTGTCAGAAGAGACCTTGGGTGTGGTGATTATTCAGTAATGTGGACAGTAAATAAGATACAAGATACCACAGAGGTTTGCAGTGGTGGATGGACATAACAGAAACATGGAGAGGAGTCCCATTCAGTGTGGCGTTGACATTCTTTTGTTTATCTGAGTACATGTCTATGTGTGTCTGTGTGTGTGTGTGTGTGTGTGTGTGTGGTCTTACACTACAGATTAACTAAGCCGATGAGAAGCAGGCGTGTAAAGCTGTTGTGTTTTTGAGCCGCAGGACACAGTGTCCCAAAACACTAACTCAGATCTTATTGTAAAGCCACACAAGGCCTCATGGGAGTGTTATCCAAAGCACTCATAAAGGGAACAGCGTCAAGCCGAAGACTGGGCAAACTTGACACACAGATAGCAGTTTGAACTTTTCTCACTCTGAATAGAAATCATGAGGAAGCAGGGAAGGGTACAAAGTCCAGTATTAATCATGCATGCTTTAGGGCATCTGAAAATCTTGGCTAGCAGGGTGCTGATTGGAGAAAACTAGAAAAAAAATACTGTCACCATCTTACTATCTCAGTGGCGCCATGTGGGTCATCGGTGTTTGTTGTTGAAATTTAACAAAGCTGTGTGATACCATCACATCTAACACAAGACGGGTTATCAGCTACCTTAGGTTCACGTACGTGCTACATGAACATTTAAGAACAGGTTGACAATTCGGCTAACTGACAAATGTTAGATGAGAATTCCACGTGTCAGGCAAATATGAACAATCAATAAATATTTTTTAAATATCATTTACTGTCAATACTGTAGGATAATATATATCATATATTAGGCTATTTGTCATTAGAGAAAAGTGTTGCAGATTGCAAAATACAAAAGGTTTACCAAAACGCCTTTCTCCATAGCTTCCAGTGTATGCTATGTTGTGTATAGGACTACATAAACAAAGAATTGTACCAGACACACGACACAATGAACCTATCCCTGTTTTTAAAAATAAATGAGATGCAGAGTTAGCTCAAAGGTTCAAAGGGCTATCTTTATAGTCAACCAAGATGATATCAATACATGCTCATAATTTTGATATATTGACTAATATTTATATGTTTTTCTTTCAGGGATATGACACATAAACGGATGTCCCTAGCAACATTTATGCGTAGTTATATACTACAGATGAATTAGACAGGCTCTAGTTTTAGCATCCTTTAGCAACTTTTCTTTTTAGTCTTTTTTTATAATTTTTTGATCGAGTTAAATCCTGCGGTAGAGAATCAGGGAGATGAATGTCCTTCCAAGAGACGCTTGACGCGTGCATTTATGTTCATATTTGGCCCCTACATGTCAACTCCTGCTTGTTAATGTATCACTGGGCATGTTTGATTGTTTCTGACAGGCCATAATGATCCTAATCCCACTGAGAAATGTCCCAGTGCTCCCAACAATCAGGCTGCCACTGTTAATTTTTAATGTAAACACATAAGAGTAGCTACTTTTGGCAAAAAAAAAAAAAGAAGAACGAGCTTAATTTCCAAAATTTCGCTTGAAAAATGACCTTGATATCCTCATGATCATGGATACATGGAGGACAATAATAACTGAAGGTTTTCACTTTTCCAAGTAATGCAGCACAGAACCATAGACTAAACATCATTACTAGCCCGTCCTTCACATTCCTGATCTTGAGTGAACAACTTGCAACCAAATGTCAACTTTTTCATTAAAAGCAGATCTTTTTTTTTTTTTTTTTTTTTGATACACCCACATTTCTCTGTTGCATATGTAACCCTCATAAAATTGGCGTACACCTGATTAACAACGAGGTGACTCGCATGTCATATTCCGTCCTGTCCTAGCTGTATGCTCTCCTCCTAATCTCCTTTCATGCTCATCACCTCCTCATAAACAGGCTGTCAAAGGCTCGGCTAAATGGAAAGGGAGAAGCAGGCAGCTGCATTCCAACTCCAGGACATGTTGCAATTTGCCCCTTCTGTCTAAGAAGTCATCCAAAAGGCTGGCTAAACCAAACATTTACTGTTTGCACCCAGCTAGGGGTGGGCGATAGTGATGTGTCGGTCGCGAACGAAATGGCTTTTAGAGCCGGTTCTTTGACGTGAAAGACGCGAGCCGGCTCCTTATCGCGAGCCATGTTTTGTTTTTGTTTTTTCTTTCTCTCACCCTCTCTCTCGCACTTTTTTTCGGCTTCACTCCGCATGCGAGCCTTGTGCTTTGTGCTGGGCAGAGGGGGGAGGGGCGGCGGGAGGGAGAGTCGGAGAAAGAGAGCCAAGGACAACAACGCCACATTAGAAAGCTATAGTAATCATCACACCACAACTATTTTCAGTCGCGGATGATAAAGGATTCAGAAAGTTTATACTTTTTTATTATTATTATTATTTGAATATATGTGAGTGTTTGTGCATAAATACACAAACCACACACATATGCTTTCAATTGTGTAATTTAACTGATCTAGGTAGCTCTGTTTTGGAAGTTCAGTTAATGCTAGAAATGTGTTTTGGAGTTTGTACTGCTTTTTGGAATTTGTAGGTGCTTTGTCTCTAGGGGCCACCATATATATTTATATATAAACATACATAAATAAGACCACTTTTTTTACATTAGTAATTCCTTTTGTGCATAATTTTATATTGTTGTTAATAATAAATTAATTAAAGCAACAAAACAACCTGAAGAGCTGGTTCGGAGCCGAAAGAGCCGGCTCTTTTTAGTGAGCCGAGCCGAAAGAGCCGGTTCTCTAAAAAGAGCCGGAAATCCCATCACTAGTGGGCGATATAAACGATATACGATAGAAACTATATAAATTTGGCCAACGTTAGAGATTTTGACTATGGTCGTGTCCAAATTCATGGGCTGCATCCTCCCGAGGACCCGGCCTTCGCGGTCTACGTGGGCCGGGTCCTCAGAAGGTCGGGTAGTTTTCATGGATGCATGGATGTAAAACTTAATTGTTACACCCGATAAAGCAGCAACGCTGATGATTTAATTAAAGATGAAAGAATTTAGACCGTTTTTAACTCTTAGTGTTCGTTTGACTTTGGGACCTGAAGTGGACGGAGTTTTGAACCCAGATTACTCC